TTCTGATCAGTACTTACCGAGATACAGCGGCGGGAAGTTGACCCAAAATGACCAGGTGGCGGCAACATCAGTGACTTCCGCAAAATCCCATTTTTTTATTTTACGTTTTTTATACTTTTTTCTTTTCTTTTCTATTTTTTCTTTTTCTAATAACATTTGTGGCCTGAGAGACCAGTATAATGTATATTGTATTAGTGTACACTCATTGTATTACACGCAATAACTGCACTAATTTGTTTGTCATATTGCTTACAAAAGTTGTTTACAAGTTTATTGTAAACAAAATGATGAAAATATTAGTGCAGTTATTGTGTTGAATACAATGGTACCATATAGTACCATATGGTACAATGGTGCCATAGGGTGCAATTGTACCATATGGTACAATGGCACCATATGATACAATGGTACCATATGGTACAATATGGCACAATGGCACATGATACAATGGTACCATATGATACAATGGTACCATATGATACAATGGTACCATATGATACAATGGTACCATATGATACAATGGTACCATATGATACAATGGTACCATATGATACAATGGTATCATATGATACAATGGTACCATATGGTACTGGCACCATTTGGTACAATGGTACCATATGATACAATGGTACCATATGGTGCAATGGTACCTTATGGTACCATATGGTGTAATGGTACTATATGGTACCATATGATGCAATGGTACCATATGGTACATTGTACCATACAGTACAATGATACCATATTGTTCATTGTACCATATGGTACTGTTGTATTCAACACAATAAACACTAATATTTTCATTATTATTTTGTTTACAACAAAAATATGCAAAAATGTTGTATATTAGTAATGTTCTATTATATATTTACAAGTGTACAGGAACCTGACGTGTTCCTTGAGGTGGAAGACACAGCACTTTGTCTGGGAAACTGGGGAGTCAGTAGCTAGCTTGCATCGCCACTCAGTCTTGGCTGGTGTCTCATGCAACCAACACCTATTGACTATATGGTACATGGTATCATATGTTACAGGGTACCATATGGTACATTGTACTATATGGTATAGGGTACCATGCAGTACAGGATAACATATGGTGCAGGGTACCATATGGTACAGGGTTACCATATGGTACAGGGTTACCATATGGTACAGGGTTACCATATGGTACAGGGTTACCATATGGTACAGGGTTACCATATGGTACAGGGTTACCATATGGTACGGGGTTACCATATGGTACAGGGTTACCATATGGTACGGGGTTACCATATGGTACAGGGTTACCATATGGTACGGGGTTACCATATGGTACGGGGTTACCATATGGTATGGGGTTACCATATGGTACGGGGTTACCATATGGTACGGGGTTACCATATGGTACGGGGTTACCATATGGTACGGGGTTACCATATGGTACGGGGTTACCATATGGTACGGGGTTACCATATGGTACGGGGTTACCATATGGTACGGGGTTACCATATGGTATGGGGTTACCATATGGTACAGGGTTACCATATGGTACAGGGTTACCATATGGTACAGGGTTACCATATGGTACGGGGTTACCATATGGTACGGGGTTACCATATGGTACGGGGTTACCATATGGTACGGGGTTACCATATGGTACAGGGTTACCATATGGTACAGGGTTACCATATGGTACGGGGTTACCATATGGTACAGGGTTACCATATGGTACAGGGTTACCATACAGTACAGGACACCATATGGTACAGATACAGGGATAACTATGGAAATAAGTCACCCTGACTTTTTTGGGTTATCCTTGGATTTTATACGTATGCTGCTATGTATGATAATCTATGTAATTGTATTTCTGTACACCTGAATAAACTTAAGTGCATGTGGCATCATAAGTAAGTTTAATTAGGTATACACAAATAAAGTTACATAGAATATCATACTTAGCAGCATATGTTTGGAGAACCTAGGATAACCCAAAAAAGTCACAGACTTGTTTCCATAAGGGTCCCTGTACCCTGTGCCATATGGTATAATGTACCATATGGTACAATGTACTATATGGTACATTGTACCATATGGTACCATTGTACCATATGGTACCATTGTACCACATGGCACAGTGGTACCATATGGTTCAAAACCATAGAATTCGTCTTCAGCTCCACTTCCATCAGTCTTAGAACTGTAAGTTGTGAAGAGGAGAATCAGAATTCGCCCCGAGAGTGAGTGGGGATTGAGAGCTTCCTTGCCGCCAGGCACTATGAACAAAGCTACTTTGTCGGCGTTCCCACAATGCCATGAGGGCGTCCAGATTTTTTCTATCGTGTGCACACTGACCACCCAGACCCATTCTCTCAGATGTAGGCCTACCAGCCTTCTCGTGCTAAATTTTACACCGCTAGAATTTTGGCGTAGATCTACAGTTTGGACCCTGAACGTAAAGCCGTAGATCTACGGGACGGACCCTGAAAGGGTTAAAAAAAAGATTTTTTTTTCTCAAAAAATTTGAGGCGCTACGCGAGTGAACGTATATATAAGTTTGGACCGTTTAAGGGTTAAATGCTCACAGATCAATAAATTCTCATATCTAACTTAATGCAAATATTGAATAACATATTTCATAAATGCATAATCCAGTTGTATAATTAGAGAAACCTTATCAAACTATGTTTTTATAACATTACATAATTGTCTTGAATGCACTGTAACTCGTCTAATGCCCATATGAACTGTTACTGCACTACAGATCATTGATTTGATTTGATTAGATCTCGTTATTAAATTATACGACTACACTTAGTTAATTGATCATTTTCTTATATTACTAACTGTAACGTTACAAAATTGTAAAACTATAATGCTTCAAAATTGAAATGTTCAAATTCATTGTTTAAAATAACTCAGTTGTACTTGATATTGTAAATTGTCTACAGTAACTGTTTCCATTAAATCTATTATAGCTTAGATAGTCTGTATTTAATTTTAAGCCTGCCTGTAATGCTCTGCATACAAGGGGCTTTAGACATGTACACCCAACTTCTATAATACCTTGTACAACTATGTATCATGTCCTAATAAAATATTATTATTATTATTATAGATGCCATCATAAACGATGGGAGAAGTAATGAATAATTCATGCTGAAAATTGTAAACAAAAAGCAGAGTGGGGGAGTGGCTGGTCCAAATGTAGATTCATACACATTTTCTCTGGTGCCTGACCAGAGCAAACATAATGTTGTCTTTCCGCCCGGCTACCACACAGGTCCACAAGTATTATTATGAGAGCACTTATAAAATATGCAATAAATGCCAGACAACAAGTGTACACTAACTTGTATTAAGTTAGCAATAGAAATAGGCATTAAAAACAATAAAAGGTAAGATACACACAGAGTACACTTACTACTTACCTTAAAATATTAATGTTAATGTGTGTGAGAGGTGAGTGGCAGGGTGTTTATTGAATAAAATCAGAATGGCACACCATCATCCTCTAACTTGGCACTTAAAGCAAGAGGCTTACGACTCCTCTTTTTATCACAGCTAAGCTTAGATGCCATCATCAATGAGAGCCAACTAGTTAACGAAAGAGTAAATGAGAGAGAGAACGAGATACAGAGCTCAGACAATGTAAGAACGCAAGCTGAACAGGTTGTGGGCGATCACTTGGTCAGGCGAAATAAATGCATATTAATGTGTGTTTACTTTTAGTTTATTAATGTATGTAAGAGTTTGTAAAACTTTTGCCTCACAATATTTGTTTTTATTGTAATAATTACCTCGCAATACAAATACTCTTACATTGTGTACAAGTTGTACAAGTTAGTACAGAATAAACAAACAGCAACACTCCCATTCTCATGCAACACACCATTTTTAGAGTGAATGAAGATGATGATATTATCATAATAAAAAAACGCTAAACCTACAAGGCATACAAAAGGAATGTTTTTCTACAGTTATCCCCCAGTGTTTGACTAGAGAAAACGTAATTCTTCCGACACTACTTAAACAGCCGCTGTGTAAACAAATCTCATATTTATGTCAATTTTTATTTTGCGAGTGTATGTATCATGTTTATGTGCTATGTAACATGTTTCTTATATAATTTTGAGGAAAATATCATAGATGGATTAATGAAAATGTCTATATTAATGTAAAATAAGACATTTAATGTGCCCAAGAGTGATTATTATTATGTACTATTGGTGTCATGAGTAGGCAGACTCTTAGTGATTTAATGTGTACCTGCACACCAGCACAGTGTGTAAGTATATTTAGGTACAGGTACACAAGTATAATTATCAGAGTACATATAAAATATTCAGTAACTGTAAAACTCTTGAAATTTTGGAAAGTTTCCAGACATAATAGTTGTCGTCACGGAGAATGTAAACAAACCGGATGGGGCGCGCCGTATTTGAAAGACCGCTTACCGTATAGCAAATTTTGGTCATAATTTGACATCGCTGTATTAGCGGAACGCTGTAAGGTGAAACGCCGTACAGCGGAGCCCTACTGTACCTTTACAATGCTGTTAGTGAAACCATTCATTTAAAACTATTGGTATCTTTTGGTATAATTCAGTACTGTATATTGTAATTTGTTTCCTTATGTCATACATACAGTAGTTAAATTTCCAATTCTGCACTCTACACTCTGATTCAGTGTTGTGCATGCATCTTATTCATGTATCTTTATTACTGAAACATTTTGCCTGCACAGCAGGTTTCATCAGTCTAGAGTTTATTACAGTACTAGAGAATAGAAGTGGAGAGGTGATTTTGAGATGATCTGTTCTTCAGTTCTTTCTTGATAGATGATTATCAGTCTCTTATTCTAAAGCCAGGGGTATGAAATCAGAGGCTCGTAAAGTACAGCTGGTGATAAGGTCACCGGATGACCATTGAAATGATGACAAATAGTTACATTAATTTTTTTTTTAGCTGGTGCTGTTTTCTGTAAACTGTGCATACTGTAATCTCTCTCTCATATTTCAGGTGTGATTAGCGGAGTGTGGGAGAGGGGGGGGGGACAGGGCGACAGAGGGAAGAAACTCTAGCAGAAACGCTGGGAAGAGGACGCCAGCCTTCCTCAGGGTCGGGCAGCGCCAACAGTAACAGAATGTCAAAACCACCATCAGACAAACTGCTAACATTCAAACTGGTAGTAGTTGGGGATGGTGGTGTAGGCAAGTCTGCTCTCACAATACAGTTCTTCCAACGACTGTTTGTGACCGATTATGACCCGACCATAGAAGATTCGTATATTCAACACACAGAGGTAGACGCCCAGTGGTGTATTCTTGATGGTAAGCATTACAGTACAATTAAGAAATTTTGTTTTAACACTCGGCCATCTCCCATTAAGGTAGGATAACCGACAAAGTAGAAAACACTTTCGCTGTCACTTGTTCAATCACTATCTTGCCTGAAGCATGCTAACACTACATTTCAGATGACCCTCGAAACCACAACAGCCCACCCATCCTTCAAATTGCAGCCACTGTACTTTTCACCTATAGGACTCTAGCCTGGCTGACCAGTTTCCCTGAATCCCTTAATAAATGTAACCTTGCTTACACTCCAACAGCAAGTCAAATCACAAAAACCACTTGCCTCCACTCAATCCTATCTAATATACTCACACAAGCCTCTTGGATGTCCAAGGCCTTAGCACTCTTCTCTTCCTTTACTTCCTCCAAACTTTCCTGGGATGACCCTTACCCCTCTTTCCTTCCATCCCAATTTTTTCTCCTTCCTCTCTAAATGACCAGACCACCTCAACAATTCCTTTTCAACCCTCTGAATAATATTTTTTTTTTATTATCACACTGACCGATTCCCACCAAGGCAGGGTGGCCCGAAAAAGAAAAACTTTCACCATCATTCACTCCATCACTGTCTTGCCAGAAGGGTGCTTTACACTACAATTTTTAAACTGCAACATTAACACCCCTCCTTCAGAGTGCAGGCACTGTACTTCCCATCTCCAGGACTCCAGTCCGGCCTGCCGGTTTCCCTGAACCCCTTCATAAATGTTACTTTGCTCTTAATCCAACAGCACGTCAAGTATTAAAAACCATTTGTCTCCATTCACTCCTATCAAACACGCTCACGCATGCCTGCTGGAAGTCCAAGCCCCTCGAACACAAAACCTCCTTTACCCCCTCCCTCCAACCTTTCCTAGGCCGACCCCTACCCCGCCTTCCTTCCACTACAGACTGATACACTCTTGAAGTCACTCTGTTTTGCTCCATTCTCTCTACATGTCTGAACCACCTCAACAACCCTTCCTCGGCCCTCTGGACAACAGTTTTGGTAATCCCGCACCTCCTCCTAACTTCCAAACTACGAATTCTCTGCATTATATTCACACCACACATTGCCCTCAGACATGACATCTCCACTGCCTCCAGCCTTCTCCTTGCTGCAACATTCATCACCCATGCTTCACACCCATATAAGAGTGTTGGTAAAACTATTCTCTCATACATTCCCCTCTTTGCCTCCAAGGACAAAGTTCTTTGTCTCCACAGACTCCTAAGTGCACCGCTCCCCCTTTTCCCCTCATCAATTCTATGATTCACCTCATCTTTCATAGACCCATCCGCTGACACGTCCACTCCCAAATATCTGAATACATTCACCTCCTCCATACTCTCTCCATCCAATCTGATATCCAATCTTTCATCACTTAATCTTTTTGTTATCCTCATAACCTTACTCTTTCCTGTATTCACTTTTAATTTTCTTCTTTTGCACACCCTACCAAATTCATCCACCAATCTCTGCAACTTCTCTTCAGAATCTCCCAAGAGCACAGTGTCATCAGCAAAGAGCAACTGTGACAACTCCCACTTTGTGTGATTCTTTATCTTTTAACTCCACGCCTCTTGCCAAGACCCTCGCATTTACTTCTCTTACAGCCCCATCTATAAATATATTAAACAACCACGGTGACATCACACATCCTTGTCTAAGGCCTACTTTTACTGGGAAATAATTTCCCTCTTTCCTACATACTCTAACTTGAGCCTCACTATCCTCGTAAAAACTCTTCACTGCTTTCAGTAACCTACCTCCTACACCATACACCTGCAACATCTGCCACAAAGACCTCTTTAGCCTTATCTAAATAGTGTTCATTTATATGTTTCACTGTAAACACCTGGTCCACACCCCCCCTACCTTTCCTAAAGCCTCCTTGTTCATCTGCTATCTTATTCTCTGTCTTACTCTTAATTCTTTCAATAATAACTCTACCATACACTTTACCAGGTATACTTAACAGACTTATCCCCTATAATTTTTGCACTCTCTTTTGTCCCCTTTGCCTTTATACAAAGGAACTATGCATGCTCTCTGCCAATCCCTAGGTACCTTACCCTCTTCCATACATTTATTAAATAACTGCACCAACCACTCCAAAACTATATCCCCACCTGCTTTTAACATTTCTATCTTTATTCCATCAATCCCGGCTGCCTTACCCCCTTTCATTTTACCTACTGCCTCACGAACTTCCCCCACACTCACAACTGGCTCTCCCCCACACCTACAAGATGTTATTCCTCCTTGCCCTATACACGAACTCACAGCTTCCCTATCTTCATCAACATTTAACAATTCCTCAAAATATTCCCTCCATCTTCCCAATACCTCTAACTCTCCATTTAATAACTCTCCTCTCCTATTTTTAACTGACAAATCCATTTGTTCTCTAGGCTTCCTTAACTTGTTAATCTCACTCCAAAACTTTTTCTTATTTTCAACAAAATTTGTTGATAACATCTCACCCACTCTCTCATTTGCTCTCTTTTTACATTGCTTCACCACTGTCTTAACCTCTCTCTTTTTCTCCATATACTCTTCCCTCCTTGCATCACTTCTACTTTGTAAAAACTTCTCATATGCTAACTTTTTCTCCCTTACTACTCTCTTCACATCATCATTCCACCAATCGCTCCTCTTCCCTCCTGCACCCATTTTCCTGTAACCACAAACTTCTGCTGAACACTCTAACACTACATTTTTAAACCTACCCCATACTTCTTCGACCCCATTGCCTATGCTCTCATTAGCCCATCTATCCTCCAATAGCTGTTTATATCTTACCCTAACTGCCTCCTCTTTTAGTTTATAAACCTTCACCTCTCTCTTCCCTGATGCTTTTATTCTCCTTGTATCCCATCTACCTTTTACCCTCAATGTAGCTACAACTAGAAAGTGATCTGATATATCTGTGGCCCCTCTATAAACATGTATATCCTGAAGTCTACTCAACAGTCTTTTATCTACCAATACATAATCCAACAAACTACTGTCATTTCGCCCTACATCATATCTTGTATACTTATTTATCCTCTTTTTCTTAAAATATGTATTACCTATAACTAAACCCCTTTCTATACAAAGTTCAATCAAAGGGCTCCCATTATCATTTACACCAGGCACCCCAAACTTACCTACCACACCCTCTCTAAAAGTTTCTCCTACTTTAGCATTCAGGTCCCCTACCACAATTACTCTCTCACTTAACATCTCCCAAAATCTCTCTCTCTCCTCTGCATTCCTCTCTTCTCCAGGTGCATACACGCTTATTATGACCCACTTTTCGCATCCAACCTTTACTTTAATCCACATAATTCTTGAATTTACACATTCATATTCTCTTTTCTCCTTCCATAACTGATCCTTCAACATTACTGCTACCATCCCAATTTTCCCTCTGACCCTTACCCCTCTTTCCTTCCATCCCAATTTTTTTTCCTTCCTCTCTAAATGACCAGACCACCTCAACAATTCCTTTTCAACCCTCTGAATAATAATTTTGTTAATTCCATATGTCTTACTAATCTCCAAAGTTTGAATTTGTCTGCATAATATTTTCTCCACACATTGTCCTCAAGCATCTCTGTTGCCTCCATTCTTCTCCTCACTACAACATGGAAGCCCATGCTTCACCCTTACAACAGTGTTGGTACCATTGTACTCAGGCACAGTCCCTTTGCTTCTGTAGACAGGGTTAAAAAAAAAACATACCTAGAGAAGCTGATCATGAATAAAACTAGACTAGATGAACTATCAACCAGACACTTCACAGGGAAGACATCAAATTGCTCTTCCAGTAGCAGTAATTTTTAACAAGTTGGTTAAAGACTGCAAGGTGCCAAGTGAATGTAAGCTGGCTAGTTACTCCAATATTCTGAAAATAAGACAGGTCATCTGCCCTAACCTACAGTAAGCCCTTCAATTTTGTGGTACAGGTCCGCCATCACAAATCTGGCATCAGTTATTCGGTTCCTTCAGTTATTCGGCACTAATTTTGGCTAGCATAATTTCAAATTTCCAGGGTCGCCACACCAACCTGCTGGTACTGTTTGGTGGCGCTACTTGCTGCATAAGTCATTCCAATTTCTTTTTCTCCATTTATTGTTTTAACCTGCTTTCTTTTAGCCCTAGCCATGGTTCCAATGAATAAAAGAAATGCTTCTCATTATGTAAAGCACCTACACAGTACATTATCCATTAAAGATAAGGTGGCTTTGAAGCCACTGTCGGTTGCCATGAGCTCAGTCTCATGAAGCAGGAGAATATGCTTTATTATTATGCTAATATCAACACTACAGCTTATTTGCCTATCACAATTGATCTAATATGACATAAGAAACAATACAAATAACATAAAACATGTTAAATACTCCAGAATGAATAATATTTGGCATAACACCGAGCAGTTCGACAGAGTTATGAAGAGGATATGGTAAACAAATACCATTCTCCTATCCCTGTCTTGGGGGGTTATATTAGAGAAAACGGAGTATAGCACAGGGCTAACTATGATGTACACTCGTACTCCACCATAAACATGAAACAAAAAAGTTATTTTCTCTCTATAGATTATCACACATAGCAGCATGTGTGTAGAGAACCTAGGATAACCCCCAAAAAGTCAACGTGGCTTATTTTTAGTACCTGGCTTGGGTTAGCCATATATGATTTTTGGTAAATATTCGATTCCCAGCCAGGGTAGAAACATTAGGCGTGTTTCTTTACACCTGTTGTCTGTTTACCCATCAGTAAATGGGTACCTGGGTGTTAGCCGACTGGTGTGGGTGTTATCCTGGGACACTGACCTAATTTTCTTGAAATACTCTGCATAACAAGTGCCTTTCTATACAGTAGTATGTCACTGATGTCAGCTAGGCCTGTATTCCTTGTACATGTACGTGTAGTAAATAAAAGATATTATTATTATTATTATTATTATTATTATTATTTTCTCAGTTGTTTGTTGGGTTATCTTATTCAAACTTGGGTAATGTATGATGGAAAGATACTTCTTCACGTACACCAAAAATGAAAGAAATCAGACCATAAATAGCGGAGTTCACTTCTCAGCCATTAGCGGCCGCTTAGCGGTATATTTTTGTATGGTTGTTATGGTTATATTCTCATTTTTTCAGTCTCATTTGATAGAATGAAAGATATATTACAAAAATAGATATGATTTTGATTGCTTTCATGACGAAAAGTACCTTGAAATTGCGCTCACAGTAGCGAAAATGTTCTATTCTTTAGCGAAGCTCAAGAGTAAACAAATGACGTCACCGTCCAATACCTGTCTGCCTGCCAGTCTAAATTCCAATACGGAGTCAAGAATGGATTGACATTATTTATACAATTATTACAATAATGCATTAGTCTGCATAACAGTAAAAATTCCAAATGGTAAGCAAGAGTAATATAAGAGGGGCCTGTAGCTGTGACTAATGAACAGAGAAAATGTTATTTTAGTGCCAGAAATGTCTGCATTGTTTATTCTGGATCCTATTTTGAAATTGGCATCTGTTGAAATATGTGTGAAATCGGCCAAATTGCCAATTTCTGACCACTTTATTGGGTAGTTGAAATCAGTGAATGGGCGGTTTCTTGTACTCAGTTGACAGACTAGAAGTAAATAAGTTTATTCAGGTATACACAAATACAGTTACATAGATTATCATACATAGCAGTGTATGTATAGAGAACCTGGGATAACCCAGAAAAATCAAAGTGACTTATTTCCAGTACCTGGCTTGGGCTTGCCATATATGATTTTTGGTAAATATTTTTTTTTTCTCAGTTGTTTGTTGGGCTATCTCATTGAAACTTGGGCAATGTATGATGGAAAGATGCTTCTTAACGTACAACAAAAATAAAAAAGACGGATGATAAATAAGGGAGTTTACTTCTCAGCCATTAGCCGCCTCTTTGCAGTATATTTTCGTATGGTTTTAATGGTTGTATTCTCATTTTTTGGACTCATTTGATAGAATGGAAGATATATTACAGAAATAGACATGATTTTGATTGCTTTCATAACGAAAAGTACCTCAAAGTAGCGGAAATGTTCGATTTTTGCTGATGTTCAATGAACTGTGTAAGTCAAGTTGGTTAATTTTATTAAGTGTATTCTAACCTAACCACTCTGTAATTCGGCAAACTCAGTAATCCGGCACACTACAGGTCCCAATGATGCCGGATTTGTGATGGAAGACCTGTACTCCTAATTATCTTTACATCAATTATGGAAGAACATAATTATGGATGAAGCTGTAATATTTTTTGGAAGTTCTTCTTAGCCAAAAATCAACAAGGATTTAACATTAAAAGTTCCAGAATAACAAATTTAATTCTTCAATTATATAACTGTATGAAAAAATAGAAATATTCTCCACAGATGTAGTTTACCTTGATTTCCAGGAAGCCTTTAACAAATGGCCACGTAAAAGGTTAAGCAAAATAATCTTATTGTATAGGAGATAATTTTGGGCTTGGATTAACGATTTGCTCATCACTAGAAAACTCGGCAGATAGCTTTGAAGTGAAAATAAACAGGACACAGTACTAACATGGTGAAAAAAGAGAGAAATGCAATATAATGTGATCCTTGATTAGACTAGATTTTTTATTTTGTACAGAGTAATATAATAGTTGGGTGTGCATGCCAAAAGCCCTTCTGTATGCTGAGTATTTTGGGCAAACTTAAAGATTAACTTAAGAATAGTAAGGCAATAATACATAGTTTGTATGGTCATTAGATGAGTGAGTGAGTACAGGAAAATTTAATATTATATCAGGTGATGCTACATGGTTTTGAAGTAGTTAATAAAGATTACAGTATTACAGTGTAACAATTTAAAGTCCACTGTGTGGCAAGAATGTTGGCATTAAAGGTTGAATGATACTGCATTTGTCTCCATTCGCAGCCTTGAAGTGAATTGAGGTTTTGTGCTATTTACTCTACAGTGTATTCTACAATTGATGGCTGTTTCAGTAGATCCACTGAAAATGCTCTCATTTATGAAGTAAATCTTTAAGATTTTGTAAACTGTGACATTGGCAACCCAAAAAAGATCACTTGTGAATTTGATATGAAAGGTTTGATTATTTATTACCTTTATTTTTTTTCTTTCAGTTTTGGACACTGCAGGACAAGAGGAATTCAGTGCCATGCGGGAACAGTATATGAGGAAGGGGGATGGTTTTATGCTGGTATATTCTGTAACAGACAAGCAGAGCTATGAGAATATACCACACTTTTATACCCAGATCCTACGTGTGAAAGACAGGCAAGTAATTATATGAGTTATTTTTATTAAGCTAATTAAAGTCTTTCAGTAAATAAGTACTTTGCAATTAGAGCAGTTAAAATGGTATACAATATTATTTTTACATATTACTATTTTTATTATTAAGCCAAAAGTGGTTATGCAGTTATTGTTATAGCATATGTAAATGAATTGTTAATTTTATATAAAGATTGTAGTGTTACTGTTTGTCAAAGGCACTTGTTGATATACTTGTATATGTGTGTGTGTGTTCGACAATAGTTTTAATAATATTGCCTTGTATCTTGATTTTCATATTTTAATTTAAATATCAATTTATTAATGTGTGTTTAAATAACAAACTTTAATTATAAAATTAGGACTTTATCTGTATCATGAGTTGGATGAATTGATGTACTTATTGTATATTAATTATCTTATTGTACTGTATATTACTAAGTATCCAAAGTAATGGGGGCAGGGAATCCTTTGGATGATGATAAATCTGGGTAATCAATGATCCATAATTTTTTGCAACTAAAGTTCAGTTTTATTAGCAAAAATTATGAAGCATGAATGAGTATATTTTGGTAAGAAAAAATGTTATATTGGAGGGGTGATTAGCCACTCAAAGCTCATTGCCCCCACACAACATTTCAAGCTACGATATGCAGTATACCTTTTTCCTGAAAATAATTGAAGATACCTGGGATTGATGGGATGAAGACAGAAATGCTAAAAGCAAGTGGGGATATAGTTTCGAAATGGTCGGTGCTTTTATTTAATAAATGTATGGAAGAGGGGAATGTAACTAGGAATTGGCAGAGAGCATGCATAATTCCTTTGTATAAAGGCAAAAGGGAAACAAGAGAGTGTAAAAATTATAAGGGAATAAGCCTGTTGTGTACCTGGTAAGGTGTATGGTAGTTATTATTGAAAGACAGAGAGCAGTATACCAGGTGAGCAAGGAGGCTTTAGGAAGTGTAGGGGATGTTTACAGTGAAGCATATAGGCGAACAGTATTTCGATAAGGGTAAAGAGGTTTTCATTGCATTTATGGATTTGGAAAAGGCATGAAAAATTTTTTTGGTGATAAACAGGTTTAGAAATACCAGGGAACGAATGGATTTGTCAGTTAAAAATAGAGTAGCAGAGTCAGTAGATGGTGAGATGGAGGTATTGGGAAGATGGCGGGAATATTTTGAGGAGCTTTTAACTCTTACACTGTTGGTCCCATAATATTATGGCTTGCAAGCCAGTGTCGGTTCCGTAATACTACAGCAAAATTCTAGCGGCTAGCAGTCTTGAAGGAGAAAGCTGGTAGATTTACATTCGAGAGAATGGGCCTTGAGTGGTCACTGTGCGCAGTATAAAAAAGAATCCAGCAGCATGCAGTGCATAATGAGAAAAACAAAACTCTGACCGTGTTATTGGTTTAAAACAGCGATTTTGTGGTGTTTTTATGTATGGTATTTATAGTTGTATTCTTGTTTTCTTGGTCTCATTTGATAGAATGGAAGATATATTACAGAAATAGAGATGATTTTGAATGGTTTACAGACTAAAAGTACATACCTTGAAATTGAGCTCAAAGTAGCGGAAAGTTTGATTTTTGCCAGTGTTCAAGAGTAAACAAATCAAGTCACATGTCCAGTACATGTCAACTGGTGGGTCTAATATGCTTTCATAAACGTGCTGATATTATTTATACCATTTTTACAATAATGCAGCAGTCTGCATAACAGTAAATCTTCTATTTTTTGTGTGAATAAAATTTTCAAAATGGAAAGCAGGCGTAATATGAGGGGCCTGGAGATGTGACTAATGAACAGTACACTGAGGTCAGTGATCGCGTGTGGTCATACCTGTCCTAAGCTCTGGGATTAGCGTGGGGTGTTACCTAGCACCATGGCTTGTTGTAGTGTTTTAGAATCTCAGGTTAAAGTGTTGAAGAAGGAGATTTTACTTCTTCAGGAGGAAAATAGGAGGCTGAAGCTTCATTTAGATGGTTTTGGGAGTGAGTGTGAGATGGTGGTAGCTGGTGAGGAGGAAAAAGTTACAAGCAGTGATTTGGAGAGTGGCAGCCGCTTAAAGTGGCAAGTGGTTCACAATTCAGGAAGGATGATGATAAGGAAGGTTAATAGAGATGTAAAGGTAGGACATCAATTCTCTGTTCTCCAGGACGAGTGTACTTCAGTGGTTAGTGAGATTAAAGGTACCACTGACTCCCCCTGCTTATCAAGGTAAGAATATTCTGATTGTGGGAGGTTCTCAGGTAAGATATATGGACTGTCACCAACACCAGGAGCTGGTGTTGGTGACATAGTCAGCAGGTTGGATAATATTATGTCAGGCAATGGGAACAAGCCCATTATCTGTCTTAGTGCTGGTGGAAATGACATCGGGAATGGCAGGAGACAGGAGCTGCTGTAGTCAGGTCTAAATTCAAATTCAAAGTTTATTCTCTATAAGGATTACAGTGCTGAGTTTACAGAATTTGGTTATTGTGTGGTTTACATGTAGTAAAATACTAATTACAGAGGGGGCCACTAGAACATCTAGCATGGCTAGGCATTTCTGTCAGACTTAGATTAATTCTTAACTTTAAAATATTACAAATTATGAGGTAAGTTGGTATTATGGCTAAGTGACTAAATACTAGTTTGTGAGTTTAGCAATGTGAATGCTTTTGTTTTGGCACAATACATAGTTTCAGTATTGGAGTATCACAGGCCAACTTATGACTAGTTAGGATTCATTATTTTAAGATTGAGATTGATATTTCTGTTTATGGTCAAATGGGTGAGTGAGTGTAAGTGTGAACCACCAGGTGGTATTCGTGTAATTAGTTGACGGGGTGTATCAGGGAGATAAGATGTTTTCTAATGGTAGTTTTGAAGGTGATGAATGTGTCTGCAGTTCTAGAGTTTTCAGGTAGGGTGTTCCAGATTTTAGGGCCTTTGACATGCATTGAATTTTTGTAAAGGTTTAGTCGGACACGGGGAATGTCATAGAGATGTTCGTGTCTGGTGTTATGCCTGTGGGTTCTGTCACAACTATCAAGAAAGCATTTTAGGTCAAGGTTAATATTGGAATTTAAGGTCCTGTAGATGTATACTGCACAGTAGTAAGTGTGGATGTACTGAACAGGGATTAAGTTTAGATCTATGAAGAGTGGGGGGGGGGTGTTGCCAGGGATGGGATTTAGTGATCATTCTTACTGTGGCTTTTTGTTGGGTTATTATTGGCTTTAGGTGTGTTACTACAGTTGATCCCCAAGCACAAATAGCATAGGTGAGGTATGGATAAATGAGCGAGTGGTATAGTGTGAGAAGGGCATTTTGCGGCACGTAGTATCGTATCTTGGAGAGGATCCCAACCATTTTGGATGCTTTTTTGGTTGTGTTAGATATGGGTGCTGAAATTCAGGTTGTTGTCGAGGTATAGGCCTAGGAATTTGCCCTCATTATGTCTGGCAATTAGAGTGTTGTCGATCTGAATGTTAATTTGCGCAACTCCTGCTCTGCTACCAAACAATATAGTAGGTTTTGTCAGTGTTAAGCGTAAGTTTATTGGCTGTCATCCAAGTCGATATTTTGATCAGCTCCTTGTTAACAATGGTGTTGAGGGTGGCAAGATTAGGGTGAGAGATGACATAAGTCGTGTCGTCAGCAAAGAGAATGGGGTTCAGGTGTTGGGATACGTTTGGAGGATCATTGATGTATATGAGGAAGAGCAGGGGAGGGATCCCAGTCATATGTAGCATCTTGCCTAGAAGAGGAGTGGGCAGTAAATGGATGTCTAGGGCATTTGGTATAAATTGCTGGCTAGACAGGTACTGCAAGGAACTTGCAATCCCATTCATTGATAACTGGGACATATTCTATGACAAACATGATATGTATGCAAGGGATGGGGTTCATCTCTCTCGGGCTGGAGTGGTTGCATTAGCCAGTTCGATTGAGGGGGTTATTGGAGATATGTCTAGGACTTTAAACTGGTAGATTATAGAGGTATGGGTGTCTGTGGGAAACAATCAGGCTGCAGTACTAGGGTTGAAAGCAGCAGATATAACCAGGATACCTCAGGGATATGTTTAAAAGACAATATTCAAAATAAAGTTGCTAGTAAAGGCAAAGCAATTGACCAACGAAGAGAGATAGTAGTGGGCAACTAGTGACTAGCTCGAGTAAGGTTTACTATACAAATAGTAGGAGTCTAAGAAATAAGATAGATGAGCTAAGATTACTTGCAAGTGCAGGTAATATGGATATTATTGCTATAATGGAGACCTGGTTCAACTTGAAAGATAGAGAAATGCCTTCTGAAATCAACATACAGGGTTATAAACTATTCCATGCTGATAGGGTCAACAGGAAGGGAGGTGGAGTGGCAATGCAGGTCAGAGATAATTTAAATTGTTGTGTTAGACAAGATATAAAATTAGAAACATCGGACACAGAATCTGTTTAGCTACAGTTTCTCGAGGGTAGTGGAAAGTTAATTTTGGGTGTGATTTATAGGCCCCCCAAACCTTGATAGAAAGTGCAGTAAGCTGCTATGGGACGAAATTCATAAGGCATCTAGATATGAAAATGTTGTGTTAATGGGAGATTTTAACTTTAGACTAATTGATTGGAACAATGTGAGAGGAAATCTTGAGTCTAGTGACTTTCTTGATATGGTTCAGGATTGCTTTTTAAAACAGTTTGTGACTGAACCAAGTAGAAGAAATCGTCTACTTGACTTGGTTCTTGCCAACAAAGAATCCCTAGTTAATAATCTTGAGGTTAATGATGAGCTTGGGGAAAGCGATCACAAATCACTTAATTTCAATATATCATGGAGTTACCCAGATAACTGCAATCAAATCACTGTCCCAGACTTTTGCTTGGCTGATTTCATGGGACTGAAGAATTACCTGGGTGGACTAAATTGGGATGTCCTGAATATGGGTCAGGTAGGTGGTCTGGGTTGCCAATATGACATTTTTCAGAGCATAGTTCTAGCTGCCAGACAAC